CAATCGAAAATTAATATCTACAAAATTATTTATAATATTTGCCAAGTAGTGTCTTTCACACCTTTCAGACTAGCACCGCCTAGATAGAATGTCCAACATATAAAATTTGCAATTACCTTAAAACTCAATTAATTTTAAAAATAAATTTAATCTATTTTGTTTTAGACTTTAATTTGCCGCAAGGTTTAAAAAATTTGAAATAAATTTTGTATAGACACCATAATTTTTTCAATAATTGAAAATCTCATCAAAATTATTGCAATTTGTTTTAATTTTAAATAGAAAGAGACCGCCACATAAATCACAAATGAAATATATTTTGCCCATATAAACATTTTTGTATTTTTACGATAATAGTAATAACAGTTTGTCAAAATTATTAACTTGATCAAGCAAAAATTAATTCGCAATTGAAACGAGTTCAAATAAAATATTAAGAAGAAAATAAGAAAAATAAAAAAAAAATTGGGTATAAAAACCAAAGTATTTAATTTGAAATCGATAATATTACTTACATACCCAATAAATATACGTACAAACTACACATATACAACGACTTGGATTTGTGGTAATAAGTATGTCTTTTTTGTCTACACAATCAATATCATTAAGTAAGCATACACGAGACGAGACGCTCGCCCACGTTCATTTACCGCTCAATTAAAATTTTCATATAAACATACTTACTTTACCATAAGAATTAAATGGTTAAGTCTAGTTGGAAAAAAATAAACAAAAATTGTCGCTCACCTCAAGTTTTTTACGCTCTTCTTTTATTCTCTTTTATTTTTTGTTGTAAATAAAACTTGAATTTTGCAAATATTTTTTTTTAATTTTTTACTATTTTCTCCTTATTGAGGAGAAATCGAAAATAAAATATTTTTTTTTAAGTTCAAGGAAATTCAGTTTTTGACACATTAAAATTAAAATAATAAAAAGAAATAACTGTTAGTCAGTTGGTTATCTAAGAATTTTATTCCCTTGTGTTACATATACTTTTGAAGCAACGAATGATAAATTTAAGACTTAAGGTATTTTAAAGCCGTAAAGAACCTATTCCTGACATTAAAGTTGAAATAATTTTAGTAACCAAAAACAAAAATTTGTTAAAGTCCTTTACAAGAAGATATAATCAACTGCCTACATACATATGTATAGTTACAATGATTCCATATAAAAATTTTTTACAATACATTTTACGATATATTCACGATATTACACAATTTTTATTTTAAGCAAAGACACACACTATTTACATTAATGTTTTTATATATTCAGAATATATTTCAACTATTATCCGCTAGATGTCCAGTTTCATTAGTTTTATTTTCGAGAATCGAAATGGAAGAGAATTCAATTTACTGTTACAACTGGAAAACAAAATTAAAAAATTAAATTTATTGTTCTATTTTAAAAAAAAATACAAAAAAAAAAGATGTTATATAATTATAAATTTATTATAGTATTCAAGTACATGGAAAATTTAAAAAATCAACGTGGTTATTTAAAACAATCATGTTAAAAAACTACTATAAACTACTTCTTTCGTTAAAATTTTCTAGGGAGATAGATGGAATAAAAAAAATTTAAAATTTTAGTTAATGACACAAAAGAGTAACTTATATAATATAAAAATTAAAGGAAAATAAATTAAATTCTATTTTGTCAAAGGAGAAAAAAAAAACGCGTTTTTAATGTCAGACTCCCATTATTATATTAAATTACGATATAAGTCTTTATGTTCATTTCGGGCTTAAACCATTTAAATTCTTTCTCAAACAACTCAAAGAAATTCTTATATCTCCTAAATGTATGCAATTTATTTTTTTTAAACCCTCAGTTAAGCTAAACTTTTTGTTGTAGTCAATGATATCAAAATTTTATTTTGTAAGTTCGTTTTGATTATTAACCACTAATTTCTGTGAAATTTTATAGTTATACTGCGATCCTAAGGTCTGAGAAGGCGGTTTAAATATTTATCCATGCACATATATCCCAGTATAATACTGGGATACACAATTTTATGTAAAAATACTTGTCTGGACTTTAGGACATATTAAGCTTAGAGAAAAATTTACCCGTTATAACAGTGTTAAATTTGATTTATTTTTTTTTTTATAAAAATAAGAATAACAATTTGGAATATTTTAACGTTATTATGGAATCATCATATACTTACTATACAAAGAATAATTAATTTGTAATTTTCTGACCCCCTCATATTATAATTTTAAGAGCTCGAAACATGCGGATAGTAACTGTTACTTAACTGTTATAATTTTGTGTAAGAAAACAAAATTATTTATCTTCATTTATTTAATTTAGTTATACGAATTTCATTGCTGAATATATCAAATTAATGACAATTCTATAACATCAAATAATTCACAATTTAAAGCAATGACAATTCACTATCATTAGGGGAAAATAAATACAGTAAATATACTACATTTTACGTATTTAGGGTGACCAATTTGCCCAAATCAAAATATCTACAACACGACATTGGGATGGAACAAAAAATTGAAATGATGAGTTTCTTTTCAGACATTTTGAATTATACAAACACGTTAATACCTTTGTATATTTTAATTTAATTTAATTATTTTCATCAGACAAATCTCAAAATATATGAAAAATAAAAATGTAAGACCTTCATTTTTTTTCTGGGACAAATTATTATTATTATTATTACTTTTTTTTCTTTTTTTTTATTAATTTTAGTACATTTTATATAATTAATTTTTTTTTTTTAATTTAGTAAATACTCTCCAACAAAAAAAAAATTTACTTGTAATTGTAATTTTCTTTTCTCTATTCGTTAATAAATTAAAGAAACAAAATAAAAAATTAAATTTTATTTTTTTTTTTTAAATTAACATTAAAATAGTTTTCTTTTCGATGAAAAATTTTAATATAATTAAAAATAGTATTTTTTTTGTTCTTTTGCTTTAATTATTTTGTAATAATTAGTAGATTTAATAAAATGAATAATAATTACTCTAGAAAAGGGTAGGTGTAAGAAATTAAAATTTTTTCTTAAATAATTAAATTTTTTTTTATACTTAATTCGAAAAAATAAAAAATTAAACATAAAATTTAAAAAGAAATTTTGAAATTGTTGAAATTTTTATCTAAAAATAATATTTTTTTTTATTATCCTTATTTTTTGCTTCTTTAATAAATTTACAAACTATTCAAAATATAATTGTGTTCCAAAATAATCTAAATTAAAGTCTAAAAATAAGAATTTTTTGTAATTTACAAATAATGAAAAAAAATTTTTTATTTTATAATTTCTAAATTTTCATTTATTTTATTATATTTTAAAAAGTTAAACTAACGAATCTGAAAATATAATAAAAAAAAATAAGAGGAAGAAAAAAAAAAGAATAACGATTTTTTATTATTCTGTTCCATTAAAATTTTGATATAAGTATCGTTGTATATATGGTGTTAAGTATATAATATTTATAATAATTATCTTAATATTATATAATTTAAAATATAAGTATTTTAATCTTATAAAACAAAGAAAAAAAAAAATTTATCATAATGAAAATATTAAGAAAAGGTTAAAAATAAAATTTAATTTGTAAATAGAATCGTACTTAAGTTCTTAGAGAAAAATTAGGGCGTAATTTAGAGCGTAAACTAAAAAAACGATATCTAATTTGAAATTAGATTAGCAATTGTTAATTGCCGAATAAATTAAATAAGATGCTCGAAATGTATTTTTCCCGTATCCCGACATCTAAGTTAACACTCCTAAATAATTTCAGGGTTTTTACAATTTGAATTCGGTATAATATGATAATTACTCGTAAAATAGTGCTTTTATATTCATTTCTACTGTTCCTCAATATAAACATACCGCTTTTACTGAAATACAGAATAATTTGTCATAATTAACAATACAATTGTGACAATTTAATTAAGTAATAATTGTAATGCCCATAATTTCATTTACAAATTCATTTAAAAATTTACAAAATCCCAGCACGGCAACACTATTTATTAATTTTCAAATTTTTTTTTTTCCAAAGAATTTAAGTACGATTTAAATATATATATATATTTATATTTAAATAATAAGTGTACATGAAATAGGATTAAGCAATGTTTATTATTCCAAAAAAAAAAAACTTAAATTTTCTTTAAAAAATTAATTTTCAAAACATAATTATTAATTAATTAATAAAAAAAAAAATATAATCATTGGCACAGGACGCAGTCTAAAAAATATTATACATTATAATATATTATATACATATTATGTTTATATGTATATATAATAAAAATTTTAAAATAAAGCTTAAAAATAATATTAAAACATAGATTAATTAAAAAAAAAAAATAAAAAATTGGGAAAAAACAAACGTTAATACACAATATTAAAAAACAAAAATATAAATTTGTTCTGTATATAATTATAATAATAATAATACTAAAACGTATATAATATTTTAAATAAAAAAATTAATTATTTATACATTATTACATAATTTAAAAAAAAAAATTAATTTTTTTGTACAATGTACAGTTATAAAGAATTAGGGACTATTATATAACAGTTCTTATATAACACTTATTTTTTTTTTTGTAATATTCTAAGTAGTTCTAAAATATGATTTCATTGTTAAAATACTGGTCTAAAATGTGAATGATTGCAATATAAATTGTACAATTGTAATATTGTACTTAAGTGTATATAAATTTTGTCATAAAAAATTATTTGTTTTTAATTTTTTAACAATGAAATCAATTAAAAAATTTTTTTGAGATTTTATTTTATTCGTGTTATATAAGATTCAAAATTAATTAATTTCTTAATTTTAACATTAAAATCAATGTACAATAAAAAGAAGAAAAAAAAAATTAATTACTGAACTTAAAATTGAAAATTGCATTTTTTATTTTTTCTTTGTTATACTAAATTTAATATTTTTGTATTTAAATTTACAGATTGCATTCAATAATTAAGTATATATATATATATATATGTATTTACGATTATATATTTGTAATATAAAATATTTTCTTATCTATGTTAATATTTTTGTTTTTTTTTTTTATTTTTGTATTTAATAATTATGTAATTGAGAAAAACAAAAATAAAATTATAAAAGAATTTTTAATTTGCCACATTTTCACATTACATTTTCTGTCTCATTCCACATTCTTTCAAATTCTATATTTGATTTTTATTTTTCTATTGTAAATGATTTTTAAACTTAATACAATACAAAATAATATAAAATACTGTTAATTTGAAAATTACTATTGTGAATAATTAAATGATTGTTTATGTCACAATTTTTAACACATTTAATAAATTATTGAGAATTATTAAATGTAGAAAATGAAAAACTAAAATTAAAATAGCATGTAAGGTGGTGATGATAAAAAAAAAACTAAAAAAAAAAACGATAACACTGTTACAATAATAAAAGCGTTTAGGAAAAGAACAAAAACAATGTGTATAAGTAAATTTTAGAGCAATAACAGAGCAATTAATGTGATGACAGCTACAATAATGGCAAAAAATGTAAAAACATCATTGCTTGCTAAACCATATGTGCATACAATTAACATGTGTTCTAATATTGTTGTTCTAGCGGCATCTGGATGTGCTAATTGTAATTTATCACTAAATAATAGTTCATCTCTTCTATTGTTATGATCTATTGTATTTGAATCATTATTTTCATCATCATTATTATTATTATTATTATTATTGTTTTTATTTGTATCATTATTATCATTATTATTAGAATTTGAATTGCTATTATTTTGTGGTAATACAATTGTTTGATCTTTTGATGTTGATGGTAATGAAATTCGATTTTGATTAATCAATTTCCATTCATTTGAATTGGAATCATTTTTTTCGATATTATCCGTATCTTTCAATAAATTTTTTATTCTATATTGTTCATATGTTTGACAGGATAATAAAGGATCTTTTTGTATTTTAGAATCTTTATTTAAATCAATTGGTAAATTATCAATACTAGATGATGTTCGAAAATGATTTTCCAATAATTCAAATTGTTTTAATTCTAAATCTTCTGTATCTGATTCAATAATATTATCATTATCAATATGAATATCACATTCACTCATATTTTCATCTTCTTCTTCAATTGATGAAAGTTGATTATCATCTGTATAAAAATCGTCATCATCATATTCAGGTGGTTTAAATAATTTTAATTGATTTAAAGGCTTTAATAATGGTACTTTTATTGATATAATATCATTATGATCATCATTATAATTATAATTATTTGAAATTTCAAAATTATTTAAATCATCAGATAAATCTAATGTATTATCAAGTGATTTAAATGAATCAGGTGTTGAACTTGTACTTAATGTATTATCATTAATTTTTGATGTTGATAATAAACATTCAATATTATTAGAAATTTCATTAAAATCTTTGGTTTTTAAATCAACATAATCACTAACTGAATCAATTTCATCAATATTTCTAGAATTAATTTCAGTTTGATCAGTACATTCGTAAGGTGTTGGAATTTTAACTTCATTGACAAAATTTCCAGAAACATTGAATTTACTATTGTGTTGTAATTCGACTTCAAAACTAGAACTATTATTGTTAATGTACTGCTGAACTGGGAAATCTGATAAGCTTACATTACCAGAATCTGGATTTGAAGAATTATCTTCTTCTAATGAAGTTAATGAATCGAATTGTGTTACTTGATTTGTTGAATTGGAATCAACATTTTGTTCTGATAATACAATATGTACATTACTTGAATATGTGTTTGTACGTGGGCTAAAACTTACATAATCTTGTTCACTATTTGAAGCTAAATTACAATAGCTATCAATACTACCTGATGGTGAGCAAGATGATTCATTATTTGATTCAGGAATTACATTAAGTATTGATTGAATTCCATTTGATATTTTACATTTTAAATTTGGTTCTTTATTCGAAGAAAACTTGTTAGAATCACGTGTCTGTGACATTGAATAAGGATTGTGGGAAATTTTTTTTTCTAGTGAATTAGTAGCATTATCAATTGAATGATTTTTAGAATGATTTGTTGAACAAGCAAAACATAATTCATTACTATTATCTTTAGGAATGTTAGTTTTTAATAAAAGTTTTAAAGAATCATTAATAAAAACATTATTTTTACTGTTAGTTATTTCATTCATTGAACTGTTATGAAGGTTAGAATGTAATTTAAAATCGCTAATAATATTTTGGTTACTTTTAATACATTCACATTTAGAGCATTGCTTTTCGTTATATAACAATCTTTGGCTATTGTTTTGGAATTTTTTCTTACTAATGCTGTTATAATTATGATGGGCATTAGATGATTTTGTTGTCAATAATTTATTTTTACCTTGTGTATTATATTCATCACTAAATAAGAAATCATTATTAGCTTCAGTTGTAGCAATTGGTGCTTTAATAGATATTTGTGATTCAATTGTAATTGGGGATGATGATCGAGTTATACCAAATATAGCTGCTAATTCTTCTGACGAATTATATTGTGATGATTGATTATTATTACTGCCTAAACTATCAATACTATTTGATTTATGAATTGACTTAGATGATGACGATTTTATTTGAACCTCATTACCAATTGGTGTTAAATTTAATGGAGGAGATGGTGTTTCTATTATTTGACTATTATTATTTGTTGTATTATCATATTCACTACTACATATTGGTGAGGATAAATTAATTAAATTTGGTGTAGCTGATGATGTTGAACAATCATATGATGTTGTGCTAAATGTTTTTATGGGATCCGAGGTGCAACTTTGTTGATTTGCATATTCACTACTTGGTGATTTGACATAATCACTAGATGAAAAACCACCATTATGTGCTGAAGTTAAACTAGATGATAATTGCAAATTGGTTGAGCCCGGACTAGATGATTTTATGCAATCTGATGATGAATAAAGTGGTGTAATAAATATGCCTTCAACTTGATCTATACCACCATCAGTACAACCGGTGGCTGTAGTTACAGCATCATCAGAACCATAACAATGTTGTGATGAATCATCGGTTGAAAGTGATTTTTTAACATTATTAATGGATCTTTGATTTTTATCTAGTGAGCTATTACTTGTGTTGATGATTTTTGCATTACTACTAGCATTACTACTACCATTGTCACCTTTAATGATAGCATTCTTTTCACATTCTTTCATAATTTTATCAATTTCTTCTTCTTCTTCATCATTATCAGTTGATTCCAACTTACTTGAATCTTCAATTTGAGTTATGTGTGTTTTTGCATTATTAATAAGTTTCATTGTATTTGATTCTGGAACAAGAATATTTTCAGTAGAAATATTATTTAAATCTGTGTTATTTTGTTGGTTTTTACAAATTGTCATCTGAGATGCGGCAATTGTCATCTGTTTCAAATTTTCATTCAAATTATCATAATCAGCTTCACTGTCTTTATCTTCTTGAGAATTTTTCTTTTGCAAATCTTTTGTAGGTGGAATGTCGCTTTTATCTAAAGCAGTGATTTGGCGCATACAACGTTCTGTTATAGAATCGATTTTTCCGGGACTTGGATCCAATTTATCTAGTAAATTTGAAATTTTCAAACTTTCATTTGAATTCCCATTCGAACTTATTTTATTTGGTTTTGTCGGTGATTCAGTTTTTTCTTCTGCTTTTGGTTTAATATTTCTATTTGCAATTTCCGAAGAAGATTTTATATAAGACGATGGTTTTGATTTTTCAATGCCAACAAGAAGTTTCCCTCGAACTTCATTCGCTTTATGAGAAACCTTCTCTATTTCATTCAGATATTTCTCTTCTTTGCTTAACCGTCTCGTAAGAGGATGAGAATCTTGTTTTTTAATTTCTTCTGATGGTACCACATTCAACAGTATCTCTTCACATCTCTTTAAATCATTAGATGTTGCTTCAATGTCGAGTAAATTTTTTTCGCTACTAACATTTTTACTTCCATTGCTAAGCAAAGCTTCTTTTCTAAGCTCTAATAAATCACGACTTAATTTTTCACTACTTTCTTTGGCTTCTTTTGCAATTTGATTGAGTGCTTCTTCCATCCCAGATCGATTTCTAATTGGATCGGGGCTTATACTTGATCTAGGAAGTGGTACAGGGGGTTTTTGTTTTTCTTCATGACATTTCAAAACCGTGGGTAAATTACAAATAGCACCACCTTGACTAGGATGGCGAAATACAGTTCGTTTTGGTGCCAAAACGTTAGCTGATTGATATTGTTGTTCTTGATTTCTCAAATTTTTCAATAATTGTAATGTTATTGGTGGTTCATCAATGTCACGAGAAATATCGTTTAAACTTCCTGTTTTTTCAAGATTGTTGTGAATATCATAATAATCCGCCAAATCACCACCAGATGGCTTCGCAGCATCTCTTTGAATTAAAGCATAAATGTTAGCAGATTGAGTACGTGTAGCTCGTTGTTTCTTTCGCAATGCATCGTACGGATATTGGAATTTAGATTTTGAACGGCTAGGAGAGTCTTTACGCAAAGTACGAACAGCTAAGTCATCGGTTATAATATCGGGGCAATTGTGCGTTATTGGTTGATGTTTTTTAATGTCTTTCTCTGGTTGGACATGCAAATAATCTGTATTTGGTGAAGGTGGTACTGGACCAATAGGTATACCAAATGGCGGTTGATTATCAATCGTCTTTATAAGATCGTTAGAATATTTCATATTTCTTAAAGCCAAGTCATCCTTCACGATATCTGGCTCGGCATTTTCTTCAGAAGAACTCTCGTCTTTAAATTCTTTTGCATATTTTTCAAAATCTTTTAATATAGGAACTTTTGGTTGTTGATTGCGTTTTGATGAGCTTTCACCCACAATGTTCAAACTCTTATAAATTGCTTCTAGCTCATTTATGACATCTTCTATATTTGTTGGATCATCATGTTTAAAATTACTATCAGAAGGAAAATTGTTTGGTTGCCTACCATTCTTAAAATCGAAATTCTGGTCATAACCAAGTATACGATTTTGTTCACGCTGTTTAGCTACATATTCATCATATTTATTTGGTTTAGGCATTTCTATGAAATTTATTGGGTTGTCATTAGCATATTTGCCTCTATTTTGGTAATAATTCGGCATAGATCTACTTTTGTCATTAGGTTTCATATCAGTTTGGTTTGAAATCTCAACCAAGTTGCTTGTTCTACCTTGAGCTGGTTTTATTAAAAGGCTACCACTTATAATATTATCAACTTCATCTGATGAATTTTGTGCGGGATGATTTCTCCTTCTAAATTGATCATATCGAGATCTTTGAACATTTTCTCTTGATGATGGCTTTATACCATCCACTTGAGATTTGTTGCCGTTTAAAATATCTTCAAAGGTAGCATTTCGATACGCACGCATTTCATTCACTCTAGAACTTGACACAGATCTTGGTTTTGATAATCTTATTTCATGTTGATTTTCGTATTCCCGCCCTTGTCGATACTGTTCCTTGCGGTCAAGCTCTCTCCAAAAATTTGAAGCTGTTTTTATATTTGAAGGGGTGGAAGGTAGTAATCCACTTTTCGTTGTACGTATTGGAGATTCAATTTTATTTTGTTCGTTTATTAAATTTTGTGATGGTATTTGTGTAGAAACGAAACTTTGATTTAAGATATGTATAGGCTTTCTTGATCTTGGAGCAGAATCAGTGACATATCTAAAATCAGCTGGCTTGGTATTACTCTTCATTGAAGGAGGCGGAGTTCGACTTGCAACGGGTTTTGTTGTATAACCTCCTTGATCAGTATGCTGTTTTGAGGTGATGCTTGAGTAAATTACAGAATTTGCCGGTTGTGTGGATGATGGCCTTTGTGTATTTTGGTATAAGTTTTTATTCTGACCCCATAGTTTGTCATCTGATACACAACGTCCATTTATTTTACTTACTGAATTCGCGTTATTTTGATGATCAAACGCAAATGACATAGGTCGCAATTCATTGTTGCTCGTATTTAAATGAACTCGACGTTGTGGATCTCTTGGAGGTGGTGGGGGTGGTTCCTGTTGATACATTTGTCGGCTTTCCATTGCAAGATTTAAATTTCTGTTTGGTATATGGATATGACTGTCAAAGCTAATACTTCTTTTGTCATTTGTAATAGAATTTTGTAAATTTTTCGAAGGTATTTGGGAAAACTGTTGATGATGCATTGCATTTTGCGCTATTGGAGCTGCTTTATAACCAGGGGCGATATTATGGTGTCTTAAATGCAAACTTGTTGGGTATGCAACATAATTTAAGCTTGTAGCTTGTCTTATTTGCACTTTAGGTTCATTAATAGATTGTGGTTCCGGATGTAAAAGAACTTTATGACGTTCTCGATTTGGTAAAATATGATTTGGACTTTCGTTATATACACGATTTGAACGTGTTGCAATTGGACTAACTTGTTGCATATATTTTTGTGCATGAGGTAAAATTCCACCATTTGAAATCTCACCATCACGACTCATACGTTTATAATAACGTTCTGTTCGTGCTGATCGGCTTTTACGATTACCATTACCATTACCGCTATGTCCATTACTGGTATTTCCTATTTGACCACCACTACCATTACCCATACTATCATCACTGCGATACTTATTTGATTGAACTGATATAATTTCTTCTTCGCTAGATGAATTATATGTTGGTTTTTGAGTTTGATGTGATGTAAAATAATTTGGTTGGACATTAAGTTGAGCAGTATGCGACCGACCTGATACAGCTTTTTTACTATGTTTTTTAGATGATTTTCCATCTAATGAATTACACGAACTCGCACGAAATTGTTCTGCAGGCGGAGTTGGTAATTCAATTTGTTCAAAAGGTACAAAAAATTCATTTTCATTCTTAGGACTAATTACAATATGATCGAAGCCGGCTCCAATCAATTTACTAGAACGTTTTCTTTTATCTTTTTTACGAAGTTTTTGTGATGGTGAAAATCCTGCTTTACGATCTTGTTCATCTGATGATGATTCTGTTTCATTTTCTTTCTGCTTTTTACGAAATAATCTGCCTAAAGACCATTTCTTTGATGAGGTACCAGTGTTGAGCGATGATGATGATTTATTACTATGTTTATCCATTTCTGATAATTTTTCGTTGTACAAATTCGTTATAGATTGTGACCGGGTCCCCGAAAGATTTACTTCTTTTGGGAGAGGTAATTGTGGCCTCCAATTTGTTTGAACAGTCTGTAACAAAAAAAAAAGAAAACAATTAAAATTAAATTATAAATTTTGTAATATTGTGAATTTTAGCTATTGTGAACTCAAGTGTTATATAAGTTGAAATATCTAATTTTATAATTCAAAACTTAGAAGAAAATTTCAATTAAAATTCTCAATTTCTTAATTCCTAGATTATAATAAAACTATATTGAAAAACCATTTGTATTTGTTACGAACATTGTTCATCTAAATTGAAAAAGCCTTAAGGCAACTATGCATAAGAAATAATTCAAAATAATTACTATTCCTATCTCATTAAACAACATTATATTTTATGACAAAAAACTAAAGATTTTAATGCTTGTAACACTGATTTTATATACTAGGTTATGTCCAAAGTATTTTTAAATTTCTCATATAATTTTGGATAACATAAATGTGTTTTTAATGATAGAAATGAAAACACGAACTGAAAATTTTTTTTTTATTGTGTAAATTATTCACAATTTTATTATGATGTCTTACGCGCTTATATTCCACAACATTATAGAATTAATTTTAAAATACAGATGATTTAAATTTAAAATTCTAATATGTGCGTGCCTTTTATGATTTAATTTAAAAATTTTCACTCTTTTACTAACTGCTTCTATATTCAATTTAGTTAACACCTTCTATATAATCATCAAAAAAGTTCATAACTATATACATAAGTATAAACGGAAAATGTTCAACACTACATTTTTATTTTAAATTTTATACAAATCATGTATTATTAAATTTTTGAAATACTTGAGGCTAAACTCAAAACAAAACATAATAAAAATTTAAAATGAGTTCGGACACAAAATATTTTTCATTCGTACAAGTTCTCATTTCTTTGAATAAAAATTTAATGAAGGTGTTTAATTTAATTTAATAATTATCTTTTAAATGACTTTAAGGTGAAATAATTAACCATCAAAAAAATGGTTTTGATTAAAAACAAAATCATAGATTTAACTCAAGCGTAGCGTTAATTGAAGCGTAGCGTTAATTGGTAATAAAAGTCGGATCTGAATAGGTACATAATAAGCTAAAAAATATAGTTTTAAATGTACAAAAATCCGATTAATTATGTATACTTTTACTACTATGTCCCATTTTCTAATTGCATACTTTTAGGAGGATAAGTATTTTAGGATGGAATTAAAAGAAATAATATTATAGTGGCGGAACTACATATTAGGTCTCGAACTACATTAATTAGATCAGTTATCGGCACTTCCCTTGCAAACTTGTTTCGGCAAAATGTAAATTCGGATATAACGGAACTAATTAGCACATTTTTTAATTCTTATTTTTTAATTTGGTTGAAAACGTATTAAAAACTAAATTTTACACTTGCTATGTCCAATTATTTTGAATTATTCCACACAAAATTTTTATATTTTTAAATTCACAAAATTTTTTATTGTAATCAGGTTGTACTTGCATTTTTACAATAGCTGTACATAAAAAGTTCAATGACATTTAACATGTCATTTTATAGTTCAAAAGAGACAAACAAAAATTTCACTTTTTATACAAATTTCATATGAAATGATATGACAAAAATTAATTTTTTTATAATTTCAAAACTCGCCTAATTAAATTAATAAGGGTTCCAATTTGTAAATATTTCTTTTTAATTTTATTTCTATAAAACAAAAATGTTAAAATTTTAATTTAAATATCTTGTTCACCTTAATAAACACGAAACAATAATAAATCTAATTAAAGTCAAATTATTTAAATAAAAGCATGCTGACCTGAGTGACAGTCTCTTGTCTAACATGAAAATTACACTATTTTAATTTTACACAAATAAAAAATCCATTGAGACTCCAAAGTGTTATTTTGTTATATGTTGTCTAAATTTCTATAAAATTCTTTCAGAATGTCTTCAATTTCTCTTCATAAATTATTTTCTTATTTATTGTTACAGAAAGCAAAAAAATTTCGTAATTCCAATAAATTTCGGTCAGTATTTTTTTTTTATTTTTTAATTAAGAACATTAATTTTTTTTTCTTGAACTATTTTTATACATTAATTTTCCAAAGATGTTTGATATAAAATTGCAACAATCGTACGGGAATTTTTTAATTATTTTAAAATTCTACATCTCAAATTGTAATTTTCGAAAATGAGAAAAACAATTGAAATATTTTTATAATTTTATTATTATACCATACTAAAAGAAAGGAAGCGATATTGAAGAATTTCCCAGCTGCTCCCAATTAAAGAAAATCTAGTATAAATAATGTATGTGATTTTGCTTGTGATTTGCTATTTTTATAATTTCAATAGAAAATTTTCACAAAATTAAATTCATGTGTTAATAAAACGAAAAAATCAAATTACATAGAAAATTTAGCATGATTCTTTCTCATAAAATTAGATTTTCTCACGTACTTCAATGTGTATATAGTATGGGTAAAAGTACTATGTGTCCAGTCGATTAATTAATTTAAAAATGTTCTTTAATATTTTTCCATTAAAACCAATAAATTCACAAATATTGTTTAAAACGTTTCGGCATGTCAAATTTTTGTTTACACAAACTTCAAATTTCTGTATTATTTTCTAATTTTAACGAAAAATAGGTCCAATACGCATTAATATTTAATTCTGAAGTATTTCCGGTGAATTTTTATAGTTGACAGTAAAAATATACACATTTAGCATTTTCAGACAACCTTAAAATTTATTTAGTTCTCCGCATCAGTTTATATATTTAAAATAATAATATTTAAGAGAAATATTCAACGAAAAATCTTACGAAAACATCACTCAAATAATTTTAATCAAAATTTAAAAAAAAAAAGTTTTCAACAAAATTTTGTAAATATAACAGAAAAGGAACACTATAGTTTTGCCAAAAAAAAAAATTTACAAAAACTAAAAATAAAAATTTTTTATATTATGTACGTAAGGTGTGTATAAACACATGTATGTGTACGTATGTTTATAAATATAAACTATTTATTTTTTTATGACAGATAGATAACCTTCACTAAAATAAAATAAAACATAAAATTAAAATTATCAATCAATTACGAAGATAGCGATGAACATAGACAACGGTGGCGTCATGAACTATAATTTAATTTTATTTTATATTATGGTACATTATTTTTTATACAATGCGATGACCTATTACTATATTTAATATTGTATTGTAAAAATTAAAGTCAGGGATTGAAATTGCAATTAAAATGCGGCAATTTTGCTAAATGAAATAAAATAGAACAACATCAAATTGTGATTCAATAAAATCCATGAATAATGTTTTAAATGTCAACATGTACTTTTAGTTTAGTAAATAAATATTACAGTTAAAAGATTTTATTACTTGAAGGAATTCAAAATGTGTTTTATAATCTAAATTGTACAAAATTTCAAGTGCGTTAAAGAAACTTTTGAAAATATTTTCACTGTAAATTGTAAAATATCAAACGTTTACACGATTTAAACTCAACCGATAGCTTCTGGAACACTATGAAATCTAAAATTTGTATTCGTACACATACTAAAATACGAAATTAAAAATTTGTAATATTTGCGACACCCACACAACATCTTAACGATGATATTCTGGGGCATTTTTTCTCTTCAACTATTTTTAGTTTTTAAACTAAACTAAAATTCCACACACATTTCTTGGGAAGGCATTCCGATCTATTTTCTCACTTAATTAATTTTATTTTTAAAATTTAAAAAAAAAAAAAAACAAAAATACACGCTTTTTATTTAATTACAAAGATTACAAAAAAAAAAAAAATTAAATGTCAGACTGATATTGGCATTGAAAGTTAACAAAAATAACAAAGCAAATAACAGAAAAGTTTAAAATAACGCAAGCCAAACAATTTGATTCTATTATTTTTATCGCCCGCCACATTTGTAATAAAAACTTGAAATTTTTCTACTTAAAATATTTCAAGACGCTATATGCACAAACGCTTAAAACACACAGCATACGAAAAGTTCAGTGACAGGCCATTTATTTTATTATTATTATTGTTGTTGTTTTTTTCTCTATGACTTCTAAGTTATGATAAAAATTACTTTTGCACGCATTAATTTTCATATTTTAATTTTTGAAGGTGACGGACGATTTCGTAAAATTTTTATTATGAAAATACACAAAGCATGTATAGGGAAATTCAATGGTGAAATTCTTGTTACTCTTTCCCCATATACCAAAAAATTTCTATTTTTATATTTGCATTAAAGAAAATTTTTATTCTTTAATTACTTTGAATATAAAAATAATTTTAATTATTAAGAAATTATAACAAGATTTGGGTTTGTCTAACACGTACTTATATACATATAATTTAAGTAAATCTTTGTGTAAATATTTGAGTGATGTGAGAATTTTCCGGAAATTTAATTAAAAATTTTAATTAACATTGGCCTATGTAATTAAATCATTATTATAATTTTTATATTTAATTAAACATTCAAAATTGCATTATTGTTACTTCTGTTATACGTGAGAACTATTATATTGGGTATTTCTGGTGACAATTTATAAGTAAATGAATTCTCATCACAAATTACTTGTCAAATTTACGACAATTTACTATGAAATTAAATTTTTCAATTAATTAAATTATGCAATTAAATTTCTATTTTTGGTTTTTATTATATAAATTTTTCGAAAATCATGGAACATTTCTGATAGATTTTAAAGTTTAATATTGAAAAATAAGATAGATAAAATCAATATATATGAGAGTTAGGGTAAGAAATAATTTAATGCAATTTATATTTCAACTGTATGACGAAAAGAAAGAGGAAGTGGTGGCTCATTTTCGGTGCTCATGCTCAGCTTTGTCCCCGTGGAAGACAGAAGTTCCTTGAGTCGTATTTCTTTTTGCGTTTCTTCACAAACCTAGTAAATATAAATAAATTCCAGCGATCTAAACTGGTGAGGTTGGAGAAATTAAGATCCAATATTAATTTAGTATGTAAATAAATGGACACTCATTTACTTGACCACAGAATTATTATCACTTTGAAATTGCAGTAATCTTCAAATAGTCAGTATATATTAATAGCATTTTAATACAATTGTAACGTCGAGATAAGTTTGTCGGTGTCCTAATAAATTTATTATATTCATATATATTCAACGAACCTAACAAATATGAACACATGTAAACATCCGCCTTATATACGCTAGCAACTTCAAAAATTTTACCTAATAAGTTCAATAAACTTGAAATTTTTTATGATAATTAATTACTTAAAAATGAAAAAAACTTGTAAACAATTTACACTAGCACACTCTAAGAGCAATTATTTCAATATTTCGTAAATTTAGTTTTGTAATGCGTATAAAAATGCGTATGATAAATAGGTCGTACTACCTATGTATAATTAAAAATTTATGTTTTAAAAAGATAAGAATAAGTTGTAATACATTTTAGTGATAATTTAACGATAATTTTATTAAAAATAACTTTTCTGATTTCATGGCTTTTTCAATTTTTTGTAAACAATGTTCAAAACTGAGGTAAAAATTTTGGAAAATTTTCTCACTTAATATTCAATTTTTTGTTTACTTAATGTTGAACCCTTTAAATTTTGATCAGTCAAGACTGCTTAACATTTTAGATATAAATTTACTAACTAATATATTTTTAATACCAAATTTATTTTGAATAATTTATTTTGTCAATAAGAATATTGCCAAATATTTACTTAAAAAGCATATAAAAATTAAAAATTTCAATATTTATTTGGTAAATTAGAAATGGTTTTTTTTTCAACATTCATGCAAATCTTACATTGTATCCATTAAGAAAGAAAGCTTCATTACTTCTAGACTGCCTTTTTTGAGTACTAACTTTATTCATTTTTTTAAATTATACTTATTGTAGAAAACTTTAATAAAAAGTAAAAAAAAAAAGGTAGATAAATATTACAAATTGATTTTTATTCAAATTCAAATTTTTTTATTTAAATTTACGAAAACTTCAATAAGAATAATTTACTTAAAAAATTTTTGATTAATTTAAATTAATTGTCTATTGTTCCCAAAAATCTTTTAAATCTGTGTTAAATCAAATAAATAACAAGCAATTGAATAACTTTAAATTAAATTTTTAATAAACTTTGGAATTGAACTTTTAATTACACTTCAAATTTCTGAGTCAATTGCGATTTTGAGAATACACATACACAAGTATAATGTACAGACAATATTTATATAAATCTTTTACTCTAACATACAAATATTTATGTAAAACCCTGACATCCAAATTGCACTACTATATGGAAGAAAGCAGTGTTACACAATTCAGCTTATTTTTGAATTACACATTTCATGAATTACACATCTTATAAGTTCTTATTGCTGAATTACACAAATATAAAACTTATAAATGACAATTATAAGATATTAAAACAGTGATTATTTTATATTGCTTAATTCAGTTATTAATTGCTGAATTGTGTTGAAAGCACAGTATATCCTACAACACATCTCATATAATTTTTCATTTAAAAGCACTAGTAATAATTGTCACAAATAGGCAATAATCTGATATGACTGCAATTTGGATATTAGGGCAATAATTTTAATTTAAATAACAGTTAATAATCAGTAGGAAAATATTTAAATAAATTCAAAAAAATATTTCAAAAAAAAAATTGTATAAAATGTGTAATTCATTGACATAATATACATTTGACAAGCTGTCTGTCATGTATTTAAAATAATTATTTTGACAATTAAAATTTTTTTTTTTTGTAAACACTTAAAAATTTATTTATTGAAAATTTTAAAATTAAACCAGTATTTTTGTTACACAATATATTTCAATGTCAAAATCACTTGACCTACTTTTAAAATAATTTATTGAACAACAAAATGTCACCAATATTTGCAAATTATTATTAGCAATTATGAATTTGTCACATTTAAAAAAATATTACAATTTTTTTTTTTTTTTTTAATTTTTATCACCAATTATGCAGAATTTTTTAACATTTCCATATTTTAATGATTGCTCTCTATAAACTGATAAATTTATTTGACTTAAGTAATATACAAAACAAAATTTACTTTCGTTATACGTAATGTTCTCATTCAAATGCAAATATAAAACTGAAATCATTACTAATTTACAAAAAAAAAAACAAAAAACAAACAAAATAAATTCTGCCGCATGAATAACTAGTTCAAATTTTGTAAACACACACATACATACATATTAAATGTACTTATTTATAAGACGAATGAATCATTCATTACCAAATCATCTCATACAGTATAAAAGTGAGATTAGAGATTATGCAGACTCTCTTTTAATAAAATAAACAACAAAATTTATAAAAATTTTTCTTTTATTATTTATTTTTATTTAATTTTAATCCTTTTCTGAAATAATTTAAGAATTATTGTGGTTCAAAGGAAATTCATAAAAATTTTTTTCTCAAAAAAATTTTTTTAATTTTCTTAAAAAATATTTTCACAAAAAGTTCAAGGGAATTCGAATGATTAAAATTTTTTTATTGAAATAAACTTTTAAAATTTTCATTTAATTTTAAATACCAGCTAGGTAATCATAAGGATTACAAGTGATTATAGATTATGAATAATATTACAAATGTGTACATACATATGCATATATGTATAACAGTTTTGGTCACATTATTGTGTTGTGGTTGTTACTTTTATATTATTAAATTTGCACTTGATTCAAAGATCTCAAATTATTGAGCTTATGCTCAATATATGTGTATGTATTAGGATATATACAAAAAAGTTTGCATATATAAACACGTTTGCATATACAAAAAAGTATGCATATAAAAAGCTCACTTTTATATACTTATGTACGTGCATTATTTAGGTAATGAATTCATTTACACCAATTTATATTGAAAAACACACCACAAATACTTATATCGTATAACAAATTTTATGTTTACATTTCATTTTATATACATTTCATATTTACATTAGAAAAATTTCAAAAATTTCATTTGAATTTCCGCATTATTATGCATTCCTCATTTAATTTTGGGCTCATTTAATTTTCGGTGCAAAATTATTTTTTAAGTTTTTGCTCAAAAATCATTAGCGGCAAATAATTTTATAATTTCAAAATTCTCTTGGTTTCTCTCAATTTATTTAAATAAATTTTCAACAACACTGCCATTTTATATTTTACTATAATTTTCAAGTAGTATAACTTAATATTCTATATATAAGTGTTATACACAAAAAATGCTCTTTTCAATATTATTTTAGTCACTTTTAAAATTCACTTGAATACTTTTTGGTTTTGTCACATTTAATTTCTTGATACAATTTTAAAATTTTAAAAAATTTTTATATTTAAAACTTATTCATCTTGTTTTTATCTTAATCATAAAGTAAAAATATTTATAATAATTATTCATAAATATAAGGTTTTTACAAATTCAATGCGAATTATTCAATGCAAGTTTATAAATTCTTATTACTTACTTAAGTATTATGTTCAAGTGTGTATATATTTTATTTAAATTACATTGAAAACATTTTAATGAAAGGCGTGTTATATATGTATGTATCTATAACAGAAATTAAAAATGAACGTGATTTTATAAATTCTCGAGCATTAAGTATGTCAAAAACAATTTAACTGCAATGCATTTTTAATACAATTAAATTGTTGTTTACAAAATGTCATATTTATTTTAAATATGACATTTCAGAATTTATTTTAAAACTTGAACTCTTTCCTTAAAATAATAATTATTTATGTGTTGTGTGTGTGTGTGTAAGTTTTATTGAAATTCATGTAATGTGTATTAAATTCAGTATATAAAACTTTTAGATTTTGTATGTCAAACACTATTTAACAACTTGATTTTCTCATTTTTTGCAGAAACTTCTCATATATACTTTTTCCAAAATATCAGCTGATTTATCAATAAATCAATATTCAAAATAATTATCAAGAAAGCAATAAATATATGTAGGTACTTTAAATATACGTAAAGAATGATCAAAATTCCTACAATATATGTAATCTCTAATAAAAAAAAAATCATACTCCAATATATGCAGCTACTTACGAATTTAACGAAATTTTGTTAAAATTTCTAAAAAATTCAAGAAAACATTACTTTCAGTTATTCGCTCTCTTAAAGTAGCACTACACGCCTTTAAAATTAGAATATTATATCGGATTCTTATTATACACTTAATTTCTTAAAATTTCTTAATAAATTTACTTGTTTCAGAGCTTAGATTTCTATGTTCATTTCACATGTACATCTTCAAAATTCTCTCAATATTAAAATCAAAATTATTCGACAATCGCATATGTATCTTACGTATGGTTTAAAATTTTTTCCATAAATTTGATACTTTTCAAACACTTGTCTCTGCTATAACTTATTCAGATATGCCCCATTTACTTTCATACAAAAATGTGACATGCATAATACATATGTACATACATATGTATGTAACAAAAACCACAATGACATTTTTATTTATAATTAACTTCCTTACAATATAAGCTTTTCATTAAAATGTTGTCAATGTTTACACAAAAAAAAAAAAAAAAAAAGCAAAAAAATGAAAAAAAAAAAAAAATATTTTTTTTTAACTAAAATTTTTTTTTTCTGAAATATTTTTTTTCAGGGTTGAATTTACTTTACAATTATTCATCGTTTTCTTCCAAAAAAAAAAATTTTTAAAAATATTAAAGTGAATTTTTATATTTAGAAATTTTTTCTTTCTATTTTCCTACTTTTTCATTTTAAATTATATTTTTTTTTATAAATAAACATTTAAAAAAAAAAAAATTTTTTTTTTTAATAATTTTTCACTTTTGAATTTTAGAGGAAATCTACACTTATTTTTTTTTTTTTTGGCTTTTATCCAGCACTCAAATTTAGTGCAAAAACGAAAAACAAATAAAAATTTGAGCATATCTAAAAATTTATTGACGTAAAATTGAAATTTTTTTTTTCTTTTATTTTTAAATTCGCATTTTAGTAATTTATTTTTTTTATTATTAATTTTTTTATTAAATTATCATGTGTCTGTCTACATTTAATATCAAACAAACATTAATGTATTTAAAAATAACTAAGTAATAACAATATTTACGGTATAAATTTTAAATTGCATTCATTTGGTTTTGATTTCCGAAAAAAAAATTTTTCAAACAGTTGGCAGCCTCTAAAAATATATTTTGAGAAATTTTTTTTATGTTTTTAACTTTTCTCTCTCTTTTTTTCTTGAAATATTTAAATTTGTTAATAACGGTAAACTTAATATTTAAATTTTTTAAAAATTTTACTAATTCTATGCTTAAAACTAAAAAAAAAAAAAATAATTAATTTTTTTTTTCTTTTCTCTTAAACAGAGTAACTAAAAATGTATAAACGCTTCGCAAACAGTTACCAGACTAACTTGGAGGGAAAATAAGTAGGAAAAAAAAACCAATTCATTTCGCTCATAAATTTTTAACAATTTTTTTCTTGTTTTTATGTTTTTTTTTTCTATCAATTTCAAAAATATTATACTGATTATTTTTTCAAAAGGAACGTTTTTATTATAAAATAAATGTCTTTTCGATCTCTGAAAATGTAAATCTCTCTTTTTGTTTATTCTAATAAGTAATAACAACAAACAAACGATCTAAATCACAATGCGGTCTCTTTTACACACATCTTAATTCTTATTCTAAATTTTATGTAGCTATAGATTGTATAGAATATATTTGAATAGTGAATGAGTTAAAAAGAGCTTTTCAATATTTTGAAAAACTATTTAAATAAAATATACAAAGAAACAAACTATACATAAAATAATTATACATACAAAATGATAAAATTGCGTTTATTGAGAGAGGGTAAGAGTGAAACAAAAAAAAAACAAAAACAATTTTGTAAAAAAGTTTAAATTATTAAAAAACTATGTACCTTACATGAATTGAAAAAAAAAAAAATTCTATACTGAATTGCTAAAGGCAATTATTCGTTTATAACATAGAATAATAAAATAGATACACTACTATACTACTTGTAAAATGATTGAAAATAAAAGCAGCAATTCAACATTTTCGGTACAAATTTTTCAAATTAAATGATATTGTATTTAATTTTTAAGGTCGTTGAAAATCAAATACGAAATAACCTTCAATGTATTTGAAAAGAAATTATTATTAGAATAGTGCCTACCAGTATGCAAAATTTTACATTAAAACATGAAATATTATATATGTGTACTTTTTGTAATGAAATGAAAAAAAATTTATACAAAATTCAAATTGCGGCGAAGATTAAATCAGTTTCACTTTTGATTCTGTAAGACAAGATATACTTTACTGGTTGTAGCAATTACTGTTCAGATTACGAAAGTAACTTGAAAATTAATTCACAATTATTAATTTTTTCAATAAAATCAAATGTATCCATGAGATCCATTATCCAAAAGACTTTAAAAGTGACGCGGTGTATTATCCGAATATGCTAGATTATCTATAAGGAGAATGTAGAATTCGTGTTACTTTGAGTTGAAGTCTTCGACATACTTCGACTAGATAGAATTACGGATCTTGAAATCGAACTTCAAATTTTTTAGGGTATCGAAGCAATCCGGTTGATTCTGTTCAAAAGTTTCGATAAACAAATGTATACAAAATGAGTTTTTCTTATAATTTTAAAATCTTTTACAGGTTATGCACCGAAATTCACAATTTTTTAAAAAAATATATGAGAAAAAATATTTTTTTTTTCAAGATATCTTAATGTTTCCATAGAATGCACTTCAATTTTCGTTTTGTTTATATTGAGTAAAATAAACACGAAAAATTCTACAGCGAATACTGAGCGTTAAAGAAGATTGCTTTGCCAAAAACTAAAAAAAAAAACTAACGAAAAAAAAATTAAGAGTGGCGGAAAAAAAAGTAATAATACAAAATGTTTTATGTACGAATTTTTGACATTTGAACAAAAATCATATGGACTTCAGCATTTAATATAAAAAAAAATATTATTTTTGCTATTTTAGTTTTTTAAGCATCTTTAAAAAAATTTAATATTACCACAAACATAATAAATTTGCGTTTATTAAAGAGAAGAAGAATAAAATTAATTAAATATAAAAGTTATAAAAAAATAAAAATATGGCGAAAATAAATTAAGCGAAACTGAGCGAAAGAGCTACGGTAAAATTAAAAGTAAAAATCGAAATTGTAATCGAAAGTTTTATTTACGAGGTTCACATTTTTATTTGAAAAATTTTATTAATAAAATTAGAACTGTAATTGTATTCCTTTTCTCACCGTCTCAAACAAGAAGAGTATTGACAAAAAGAATACTGACAAGAATTTAAAATCCCTGCAAGAAATGTAAACATTTGCGGATTTTTCTGTCGTTCTGCCACACTAATTCCAATGAAACAACTCAGACTTCTGAAAGCTGCCAGTGCTGAATATTAGTCTATGAGATTATGTTTCACAATTTCAAACTCTATTTACCGATTGGGTTCTAGTCAAATATTCGGTCTAGCGAATATTCTACCCCTTGTACGATTGTCATGTACCATGGTGGTGGTATTAATCAGTTTCATAATTCGACGATTTTTGCTAAGTTTTAAATCCTAAAATTTACGCTAATATGCAATAGCCCAATTTTCATCTTTAAATTTGTCTGTTTAACACTTAATGTAAAAGAAAACAAATTTTATCAAATATATCTCGTTATTTTCTAAATTCAGTAAAATTGAAAGCTATCAGATTTATATTAATTTATAATAAAAGTATATAAATGATGCAAGGTCATTATATGCTTGATTTACAAGCAAATAAAATGAAAAAAAAAAAAACATACCCATGAATATATCATGATTTATTCATTTCACATGACTGTATATACATACAACATATACAATTTATATACAATATAATAAAATATTTAATGATTTACTTTTTATATACTTGAATGAAAAGCACGTTATATATGTATAACAAGAGAAAATTAGGTATAAGGAAACCTTCCTTCTTCAATAAACTGGCAGTGAAAAGAATTGAAACCAACGCAAACAATACAAAGATGCTTCACTATATACATATAATATAATCTATAAGAATTTCAATTTAAGAATAATGAAAATTGATCTGAATCAGTTTGTATTTATGTATATACATATAACGCTT